ATACATTCTCAGATTGTATTAAATAATAATTTGCTAATGTGCGTTTTGCGTGATTGCTAAAGCATATGTATGCTACTATGCTTATCAACTAGGGGACCTTTGCCCTTAAGTCATAAATGACAGTAATAAGGATTAATGCCCCACAAAAGGGCACTAATATAGCGCATCGACACGGTTTTGATCCTGGGGCCTCAGTTGCGAGGCCATTGCTTTGTCGCTGAACCATGACTGTACGCAGCGGGGGCTAGGATCGGCCATGCATTATGGATTATGGCTCAAGGCATGGGCACACAGAGGATTTTTTTATGTTGGGAACCGGGGTAAAATGCAATAAATTATTGAAAATTTATTGCATTTTTTTTTTTTTTTTTTTAATTTATGAAAACTGCCCCCTACCCTACCCCATGCTTTAGCAGTCGCGCAAAACATACATTGTCAAATTATTGTCCAACTTTATGAGCGACAGTGTACTTCTTTATCCTCAAAACATCGATATCAATAACATTCTCCGAACTGGTGGGCTACAGCACTGGAAATACCCAAGCGAAAGACAATTACTTTCCTGTCGTCATCAAAACTGTGTATTCAAGATATCAGAAGTTTCTAAAGCTAATTGTCTATCGGTCTATTTCATGTCGACCTCACGATATGTCGGCACATGGCGCAGCTATTTTTTTTTTAAACAGTGAATGCACCCTTCGCATGCAATTGAGACTAAAAGTACAAATCAATAAATATTGACATTTTCGATAACCGTGATAATGAATGTATCGATGATCACAACCTCCATGAATTCTTCATCTTGTATTCTTTAGTATCCTCTACTTAACTCTTTCTCCTCGTCCTCTTTTTAAAACACGACATAATGTATTTGTACTTGTATTGGGGGACAAAGAATAAATCTAATTGCAAACTATTCAAGAAATTATAATTAGGAAATATTATTTGGCCTAGAATTTAAAAATTGTACACCTTTTAATATTGATCTTTTGCTTTAAAAAGTCGGTTATTATCACTAACGATCCCCGACTTCACGATTGAAGGCTCTTAGTAACATCATTTTTTATGGATTTAAACACATCCATGGTTTTGGTTTACTGTATATTATGTACACCAAATTGAGGTGAAACTAAAAAGAGGAATCGGGAGAGATTCAGGAAAGCTACCGTATAGTGCCGACTTGTTCAACATGACAAGATTTTACAGTGAAATTGCTGTCATATTAGATGATTTTAAATGCAGATGGTTATGCAAATACTTTTTTTATTTTGGACTAGCAGAGCCAGAGATCGATGGTGTTAAAAATTTGATTGACTGACAAAAGATTTCTGTTTTCACTGTGCGTTTAGAAGTTATGAAATATTTGTGAATTTGAATCACGAGCCCGCAGTGCTCTATTTATTATTCAAAAAAAGAAAGTCTGAATGTCAGCATGGAATAATTGAAATAATTATAGAATGAGAAGATCTCGACATTGCCAATGTGCTCTCAATATTTCGAAAACTCTTCTTACAATATCTATAGAGTGGGGTATTTTTAGTCTAATAAATTGTGTTGATTACCTCGTATGTTTTTTTCTGAAAAGGTTTTTGATAAAAAGTTTTGCAGTACTTGTCTTATTGCCAAATATATGTCGTTTTTAATCTCTTATAACATAAGGTAATACTTGACTGTATTATTGTAAAAGGCTAAGTGTTGATAGTTCAAATTCACCTTGGTCACATTTTATGCCAAATTTGATTGTATCATAAAAGAGTAATTTATGAAATGCAAGAGTAATATATGTGTATTTGATTAAATCACTTTAGGATGTCTACAAGATTTTAGTTTCAGCCGTTTAATCTTTTTTTTTATGTAATTTATTATCAGATGTGTAATATATAAATAATAATTACATAATTCAAAATGAATGTCAAAGTGAATGTAATATTGTTATTGATGGTTTTCCAATTTCATTAAACCATGTATTTATTTCATTAACAAATTATTCTCATTGAACCATGTATTTATCTCATAAACAAATTATTCTTGTTGAACCATGTGGATATTCTCTTTTCAAAATGTATATAATACCTATTGTGCTTACATTTCCAGGTCTGTTGACAAAAAGATTTTGTCCAAAGAATATGGCCTGCTTCTTTTTTATAACAATCAAGAAAAAAAAAAGACATATAGAAGTCAATTTTTCATTGCAATATCAATGTCTTTTATTGTTAGCATTTTGTTTACATATCATGAAAATGGCTAATATGCACTGGAATTTTTCGCATTAATAATAAACGCAACATTTCTTGTCATATGCATCATCTAATCCACACTACAAAAGTCATCGTCAAGAAAAAAAAAATATAGAGAGGGAAACGTACGTACGTCTGCAACAAACTTTAAGTCTTGGTTTTAAAAACACGGGCCAAGACAAGTACAATCTCAGAATCTTCATTTCCAACAAATCAAATTATCAATAAAACACGCATCACAAGGCCATCATTCTTGACTAAATTCCTTCTTTGTGGTCAAGTCTTAAAAAGTCAAGTCTGCCAAATCATTTCTTTCTTTTTCGTCTAGAAATGACAAGTGCTTAAAGTACTCTGGAACCCTCCATTCTTGTCTGAGCGATTTCGATTTCATTTCTTCCACTTCTAAGAAACGTTTGTGTACCCGAAAGAGAGCAAAAGCGTGGGTTCTTTTTGGCCCTTCACAGATATACACCATACAACATGGATCTTCAAGAGACAAATGATAGCATTATTGGTCACATTCATTTTACATCATTTCAAATTTCTACAAATAAATCACATTTTTCGAAGTTCCTACAATAAAAATGAAATTGTCACAATATTTTTGATGAATACCAAAAAAGAAATCTTACTTCAGCCAAGCAAAACTGAATTTTACCAAAAACTGGTGAAGCAAAGAAATTTACGCATTGCTACACTTCTGATAAATGTTAAATTTGATTAAGTTTTCAAATCGTAAGGTCTACTGGAAAACATGAAATCCTCTTATTAATGCCCCAATTTCATTGTAGAAAGTATGTGCTTGGGCATACAACTACATATCTTACCCATTGAAAATAAAAATGGTTACAAACAATTACAAGACCAGCTTCAAATCACAGAGAATTATCAATTTTCTAAAATTGGTGTCTGTGTAATATTCAATTTTGCATTGCTAATCACTTTATCAAAAAATTCAAATATTGATTTCCATTATAGACCAACTAACCAACCACATATTATAGACCAAAATTGTTTTCCTTTTTCTTCAGGAAAAATTATGATTCTGGTTTTTCTTGATCATCTTCTAAATGTGCAAGCATGTTTGAGTGAAACAAAACATTTGCGATTTGTTACCAGTATCTTGTTTGCCACTTCCTATCTTCCTGTTCATCAATTGCTTCACTCCTTTAATTATCTTGCTCCGATTACAATTTTCATCTCCACCTGCACGTGTGGTGTAACAAATTCCATTTCACATTTGCTGAAGTGGATTCAACCCTACCCGACTGCGAAAGTACGTGTTTACCACAATAGTCGTAATACAAAATGTCACCCTGCCACAAGATTGTACCAAGAGACCTTCCCATCAACTTGCCCATAGTATGAAGCAGAGACACACCGCTGTAAGGAGGGGAAAGGATTGTATCCATAGGAATGAAATGCTTCCTGATAATTTGGATCAATTAAGGGTTTCGTCTCCTAGCCAATTGGCACATTTTGATTTCCCAAGGGGATTCGGGCAAATATATTTGATGCACCAATATCTATACTTCAATGTCCCAATCTCTCTCTCTCTCTCTTTCCTTATAATAAACATCACCATCGTATTCCATTGCTTCATTTCATCACAATTCACCTCTCAAACACAGAGTGGTAATACAACCAAATCAACAATGTACACCTGGCTACAAGACGACAGTCTATTATTTGCTGTTAACCTCCTGAACACACAACCTCATAAATTATCCATCCAAACTGCATCTTCCTATTTCTTCAATTTCAAACTACTCAACAAGTTTATCGTCGAATGTAAATCATTGAAAACCTTGTGTGGGCACACTGCAACTCAACACTATTTCTTCTCATATGTCTTGCGACAGGTGCAGCAGTAAAGCAAATTCAATCCAACCCCTTCCCTCTAACACTTGTCACCACTATGCACATCATCTGTCTCCCTTTCCAGATCTTCACACAAATGGGCCTAGTTATTATTGTCATTTTGAAGTCTGACCTAGATTAAAAGTGCTCACTATTTTTAAACCGGTCATCTTTTTAAAATAAATACCTATTTTCTTTTCTAGAATTGCGAACCTCATTAGACATTACAATAATTGATTGTCATTCAAATTTAGTATCTGTGAAATTACTAAACTGCAGCTCTTCACTTTGCAACAATTTCAATGGCAAGAATACCAAAGTCGATGTGCTGTCATCACTATTTTTAACAGGAAATGTCTACCGTAGCTATGTGCACCTGAAAGCAATTTTACTGCTCCAAACCTTCATACCTATTATCGTATCACAATTCAAGTACCTGACAATTTGTTATATGTTCAATGCCATCTGTTTTGGAGCCAAAGGGGTTTTAACTTGATGTAAAATTACATGAGTCAATGCCCTTCTGAGAAAATGTATGCTATTCATGTATTGCACAGCCGAATGATACATCCTAATCGAGAGAGAGAAGTCACATGCATTTTTCAAGTATTGGAGCTATATCAAGATTGAGCAAATAATTTGAATTAGTGCTGCTGCTGCTGGTGGTGGTTAGACTTGGGGGTCTTGGAACAGGGAAAGAAACAAAGAGGAATTCATTTTGGGCCTGTGGACTTGGTCTAATTAGTACTAAAGTGTTGAGGAGTACCGGTACATGTTAATTCTTTTGGTTGTATGAAAGATGTTGGAAGATGACTGGAATTAATGCTAGATTTTAGCTAGATCTTTACAGCTAAAGGAGTGATCGGTTATTTTGGGTGTATTGTCTCAATCAAGTTGGTGACTGTATGTTGGTGACTGTATGTTGGTGCATTCTTCCAGTCTTGGGGGCCATATCAATAGTGCTGAAGATTACTGGCATCAGTGCTATCTAAATCTTGGAACCATTCCCGAATAGAAGGGATGAATGTGCTCTGGGCCTGCTGTCTTGGTCTAGTTGGATGCATTCTTCAAGTCTTAGGGCCATATCAATAGTGTGAAATATCTAGCATCGGTGCAAGATCTTGGTTGATAGAAGTGAACATTTTGGTTTGGGTCCATTGTTTTGGTCTAGTTGGTGACAGTTCGTTGGGGTCGCACTCTTCGAGTCTTTGGGCCATATCGCAAGTGCAGAATATCTTGGCATCTTGGTTGATAGAAGTGAACATGTTGCTTTGGGCCTATTGTCTTGGTCTAGTTGGTAAATGTATGGAATGATGGTTCTGGTCTCTTCTCTTAGTGGGCCTGAAGGCTGCTCTTCTTGAGGGACAGGTCCTTGACGTTAAAGACCACCTTCTCCTTCTTCTCCTGGGGAGTGGAGGCCATGCAGAACCTGAGAGAAAGTAACAAAGAGACAAAAGTTATCATTACTCTGCTCCCAAATAAGGCCACACTGCACAACCCAACTACGAACTAATTTTCTGAAAAATTTGTAGCCTTTGATATGACCATTGAAACGTGCAAATTCTTGAATATCAAATTATGAATAGTCAAATAAATATTATAATAAAAAAAACAGGGGAATGCAAGCTAACGTGTAATAGAAAAAGTCAAAATCGGCTCTGAATCATAGTGACATTTGACCAGTCGTGCTATTGTGTACAATTAGTCAAGGATTTGAAGCTGACAATAATTAATTATTCAGAACCTCATTCAGGAAGAGCATGTTTTGTTCAAATTTCCATAACTAATATCATTGGGAATTCTTTGAACTGAGATCAGATAGTAATCGGATCAGTGTCCACTGTGCTTAACATTCATTATCTACCAAAGAAAAGTGATTACAGGCGGTTATCAGAACATAGAGTGAATGATGCCAGAGGAAATATCTCATACAATATCTCAAAAGAGCTAAAAGAATAACAGGCTTTCGCATGCAGGTTGTCTTTAAGTAAAAGTTCTGTTTATGCAAATTTCCATGATAAAAATTGTTTGAGGGGGAGAAGAAAAAAATCTTTAGAGACAGGTGGATACTAAAGAAGATTAACTTCATCAGTAAACCACACTGCAGCAAATTATTCTACAAGACATTTTCTAAATAAAAGGATATAATAACTTGGCTTGAAAACGGACCATGATAAAGTATAATGGTAACAATTCCCATCTAGAATATTTAAGGTATACTGGAAAGGCTGATTTTGTGAGTAAGCCCAGATTTGCTCCTGCAACGATTACTTCAGCTATATTTTGTCAAAGGTATAGGGTTAGGGTTGCAGTTGAAATATGGTTATAGGTCAATTTGAAGATCAGGGTCATGGTCAGGTAACATGTTTGGCTCAGGACTGACGTTAGGAATTTGGCTAGCATATGAAATTGACTGCAGACCATTTGTTGCAGAAGAATGTCTGGTACAGTGAAACCTGACTCTAATGACCAACCAAGGGAGACAAGAAAAGTGGTCTTTAAGTACAGGTTCTTTAAGTACAGGTTCTTTAAGGACAGCTACAAGTACATGTTTCAATGAGAAACCATTTTCAAGGAAAACAAAAAATGTGGTCTTTGTAGACAGGTGGTCTTTCTATACAGGTGGTCACTAAAGCAGGTTTGACTGTACAATCCTTTTTGAGACATGACTGAACAGCAGGGTGCAGGTATTGGGGGAGGGTAGTTATATTCACCTTTTGAAGGCTTCCAGCTCTCTCTCAGTCTCGTCCATTTCATTCACGTCAACATTCTCCTTGGGGAGGAATATCTCATCTGTGAAGGGAATCAAAATCAACAATATTTGTTCACATTCGCTAGTCAAACATAAGACCTTTTCTATGTAAAGAAACACACGATATCATACAATTATTTACCATCTTTTATCATTTCATCAAATCCCTGAAGAAGAAGAGTTTCTGCAATATTTCTCATGTCATTGCAACTGTTTTTCTCATTTTTGTTTCTATTTTGTTCCTCACATTTTCTGTAAAAGTATATGCCAAGTATCGACATATATCATATATCATAAATTTCATTGATAATCAGGTACTAATTTGTCATTAATGACAATCACAACTAATCCATTTATACATGACCACAAGAAGGCAGGGTATGAAACCAGTTGATTATTACTAATATATCTATAACTCCCTTGAAATTCATAAAGAGAGCTACTTCCTAATTGTTTTTCTATTTATGTTACAATCAACCATTTAAAGAAATCAACCAATGAGTCTCGACGCTTAGGGTAATGCTCCAGTACACATTGCACTTTCCGCTCACCTATTCTTATATTTTTAAGTAAAGTTGGAAGTAGTTGAAATTATCCAATGAAACTGATGAGAACTTAAACTTTGGGCCAACTCACCAATGGATGCATTTGGATTGTCAGAGTTCTTCTTTTTCTTGCGCCTCTTGTTAGTGGTGCTACTTCCATTGGACAGAGCCAATCCATTCGTCATCTGCTCATGGCCACCCCCATTATGTGACGTCCTGGTGTCCATTTTGTGATTAGTCTCTGATCGCTTGCTGGCGAGTCTGGCAGTGGCTGTCTCGTCCATCTTCTGTGGAAGCTGTTCCTTGAGGCTGCTGGAAGTCTGGTTGGCCTTCTTGGTGTGGATGGTGGCAGTGGCCTTTGGATTACCCTGTGCTGCTGCTGCTGCCGACATCGCTGTACCCTGTGAGGGCTTGAGAGTAGCCTGCTTCTTCAAATGGGGATCATCAATGTTGGTAGAAGCTGCCCCAACTTGCTTGGTCCTGCTGTTGATGCTCTTGTTGCCAACACTGTTAGACCTGCTGCTACTGCCACTGCTGCTGTCACTAGCATTGCCATTGAGTAACCTCTCCTGTCCTCCTGTAGTAGGTGTCTTCCATGCATTAGTGGTGTCATGTCTAGACATCTTGTCAGTCTTCTGTTGCTGCTGCTGCTGTTGCTTCTGGTTCTGGGTGAGTCTCTGCTGTGATGATTGGCTGCCTGTCTTATTGCTGGCTCCCTGATCACGTCTATTGGCGGATTTCCCTGTATCCTGATCTGCCTTTCCTCTGCCCTCTGTGCTAGCCTCCGCAGGATGAGCCAACGATGGGCCTTGCTTCCCAGCTCCATTCTGTTTACCTTTGGCCTTACTCTCTACGCTCTTATTACCAGCGTTCGATGACAGTGCATTAGCCTGGACTTGCGGTTGGGTTGCTCCAGAGCTTTTGCCCTTCTTGCTGGTACTGTCATCTTTGGGGACGATCTCCTGAGAAGTGACCATGGGCACTGCTCGGGAGTTTGAGGAAGCTTGCTTGGACAGCTCCGATGATGATGGTGAAGAAGAAGAGGTCATCGGCATGGACGAAGGTTGAGAAGCTACCAAGCTGGCGTTTTGGTCCAATTGTGGTCTGGGTTGACCCTTGGATGTGGGTACGGATTTAGATTCTGACTGCTGGGTTTCTCGAGACTGGGATTGTTGCTTGGCAGGTGCCTGATGTAGTTGTTTGGTTGGATGGGAAGGTTGTGCCTTGCAGTGGGTGTTGTGTTGTGATGCTGCCTCAAGTTGCTTCTCTCTGGTAAGCTCCATATGATGGTGGTGGTGGTGATGGAAGTGATGGTGAGAAAATACAGGGACATGGATGTCTTTCTTGTGACCGTTATCAGGCACACTCTTGGATTTCTGCTCAGCCTGTTCAGACATTAAAGAAAACAGAAAGACATATTGGATTTTAATGAGCAATCATTACCCACAATCAGAAACATTTATTCTTTTTGGTGTGTCTAGAGCTGGATGTAGCAAACAGAGATGGTAGAAAGCTATATATGCCATTAAACACATCCTTGTATAATACAAAAAGTTAAGTTTTGTGAATGAGTAAACAGGCTAAGAATTACAGACATGATATACTGATAAATTTCATGAAGTACCATGAGAAGCAGGAATGGTATATAGATTAACTATTTGAGTTATCAGAGTTAATAAATATTCCAAGCGACCCTCCCCCCAAAGAAAACTTAACAATGGAATACTGTATTTCCCTATGTATTAACCAATCTTACCTCACTTCAGGTGTCTTTTGCTTTTTCATGTATGTAATAATGGTATAACAACTTTCTCAAATGCTTATCTGTCTTTTAACTCTGTGGTTTTCACATTTCTCATAGTCATACGTAAACTTTCTAATACATAACCACTCATAAGTAAGCTGGGGCACCTACAAAAGGCTGATTGATCCATACAGAATTTCGCACTTTGATAGGCATGACTTTTTGTCTACTCAGAAGCAAACTGGCACAAACTGGTGCAAACTACGAAATGGGCTGACCGAACAAGAAAAACTGAGGAGCTCACCTTTTTCTGTCTCTGCCGCTGCCGTTTAGCTGCCTTGGAGCTGCTCTTGGTCTTCTTAGCGCCCTCTATGAAGGAGAGTAGGTCCTCTACCTTGCGCTCGTCCGCATGTAGCAGGTCATTGGGAGGTTGGATTGGCGGCTCATGGGAAGGCGAATGGTCTTTGGGCTGCGGTAGTGAAGGTGAGAGAGTTAGATATGACTGAAGTTGAACATAAGTCATTAAAAAAAAGATGTTGTATTGCCATTTAGGTGCCAAAACATGGGTCGGTCAGTCAGAAATCTTAATTTATTTTTTTTTTTTACTCCCTCTTTGGGCTGATATTTCTCTGTTTTGAATGCTTTAATATTATTCTTCTCTAAAAAACAGTAAAAAAAAAAAAACTTTTAAAGAGCCGACCGTAGATTTCAAATATTTGGGTCTGTCGCAAAGGGCAATACAACATCTTTTTTGTTGTTGGCCTAATTGACATGAAAACTCATTTCCTAGTGATCAAACAACAATCTCTTCACAATGAATTTCAAGTTCAAAAGAAGGCAAGTAATCTTTGGGATGCTGCCACTAGAGTTGAAGAAAAAATATTTGTTGGTTCTGTCGGGACCAAAATTTAATCATGATATTAAAAAAATTAATAATGGTCAAAAGTCTAAATGAATTCCATGAAGATGTACTAGTTAGAACATATCTGTAACAAAAGTCTAGCTACAGCCTATTGTTGAAACCCTAGTGCTAATTTTACTACAACACATTTGATTATATTTTCATTCAGTCAATATGCATATATGAGCATGTACAAAAAAAGCCTACAAGCAACCCAGGCTTTGGATTCTCTTTGCTTTTCATAACTCTGGATATAATTTTAGCATAAAGCCTAGCTGTGATCATCACCTAAGGGCTATTTTTGCGATACAAGGATCTTTATTAGCAAGTGCCTGGCTGTCCTGTGGCACCATGGAAGCCACATAGCTCCTGTGGTGTGTTAATAGCGCTTTTTTGTTTAATAGTCCATACATGGCGCTCACAGCTTGGTTTTACATAAAGGTCTGAATGCAGTATACATCACTAGGATATATCATCTGTTGAGAGCCAGGCTCTCAGCGGGCGATATGCTGATTTCCTTTTTGATACAGAAAGCATTTCATACTACTGATAACAACTTAACATTACCTTTCGCTCTCTTAGTCTTAGTCGCAGTCTGTCTCTGATTTCTGTGTAGTTTCGACTCGTTGGGGCAGGTTGAGGCTACAAGTAAAATAAAAAGAAATTGATGTTGACAAAATATAAGTAAATAGGTTTGCAAATGACATTTCATCTCTACCCGGAATGGTCTATCTTTTGTCCAAGACTATGAAATTACATTCTCATTTTTACTCTATAACCTAATTAATTTTATTTGTTCATCTTTTCATTTATCAATAAGTCTTCAATGATTCAGTGAAATAATTTTAGCCAGGTTTAACTTAAGGTAACTTAAAGATAAAGTTGAGTTCTGGTCATGTGATTGTATTGTGAAAGAATCGTTTTCGAATCGATAAGAAAAGGGTGATCATTTGGCATATAAGAATTGGTGTGTACTGCAGGGTTCTTTTGGCCCAATCTTGGTAAAGTTACAAGCACTGTACACAGAAAGATGTATATGGGACTACATGAATATGTGGCATAAAACTCTGTCCTGATTTTTATGTTACATGCCAAATTTAGAATATTACGGCATTTGAAGAGCCATGCTTTTCAGGGAACATTTTTTATATGATGTTCTTGTTTGCATTATACAATGATAAGACTCACAAATTATTTTACACCTCTCCCCAGAACTCAACCTTCTCTTTTCTGTTTCCAAGCCAAAATAATTACCACTCAGCATGCTGCAAACATACGGATACAATTTTCCACTTACCCCCTGACCGAAGAATTCACAATAGCAGCATTCACAATGTTTAGACTCCCTCTCCCTCGTAGTGCTGGATGCGTTGGAGTCCTTGTCGTCATAGTTACTGGGCGTGTCATCGTCATGTTGGTAGTTGGGTGTTTCGTAGTCTGGCTCACTACTGTTAGGTGGAAAGGCAATGAGAGCAATGATGCTTAACTTTATGGTTGTAGCCATGGTCATGACAAAGTAACACAAAGGGAGGAGTTTTCTTGTTAACATCTGATAATTTTTTTGGTTACATATGAAGTTTTGAAGTTTTGAAGTTTAAGAGCAACTTTTCTTCTATTCAGTTCATTTACACTATACCATCCGAGAACTCAAGAGGCATTAACTCTGACCTTTAACCTTGAGTTTACACCTTTGCGGTTCCCAGCAGATGGTGATGTAATCTATACTTGGTTTAAGATCATTTATATAAATTCTATTCTTTTAGTATAATTATAATTCAATATTTTTCCATCTGTTACATTATAACATGTTAAACAAGTTAAACAAGTTTGAATCTCAACAATCAAAATTATAAAACAACTGCTTCAGCATCTATCTGCACAGAAAGATCACCTGCTACAAGGGCAACACTTCTTGTTTCCCTTGAGTGGTTCTTTATAATGTATTTGACTGTACTTGAGATTATGGTAATACAGTCAAACCTGCTTTAGTGACCACCTGTCAACAAAAGCCACCTGTCTACAAAGAACACATATTTTTGTTTTCCTTGAAATTGAAACATGTATTTAAGGAAGCTGTCTAAAAAGACCACTTTTTGTGTTTCTGTTGGGCGGTCGCTATAGACAGGTTTGATTGTATCATCTTTTTGTGAGTATTTGCCGCCGTTTGAGAGCAGTACATACCTGCACACACTAGCCGAGGTTGGGGTACTAGCCGTAGTCTGCATGGAGCTATTACACAAGCCAGCATTGCCGCCCAAGACACCGGATGGATGGGAGATTTGGTTCTGATGTGAGCAGGCGTGCAGGTGCTGCTCGTTCAGGTAATCTGGAGAAGAGGAAATCAAAGGAAACATGTTTAAAGATCAAGTTGAGTTCTGGTCATGCGATTGTATTGTGAAAGAAACATTGTGGAATTGATCAGAAAAGGTTGATCATCTAGTATATAACTATTTGTGTTTACTACAAGGTTCTTGAATCATCAAAATGATAAGAAATTTGGTCTAGTCTTGGTTAAGTTACAAGCACTGTACACAGATAGATGTATATGGGACTACACAAACATGTGTCATAAAAAATCTGTCCCGATTTTTAAGCCGTATTTAGAATATTAAGGCATTTGAAGAGCAATGCTTTTCAGGGAACATATTTTATCTGATGTTCTTCCACACTTGCATAATACAATGATAAAGCTGACAAATTATTTTTCACCTCTTCCCAGAACTCGACCTTCTCTTTAAATAAGGAGAGACTTTGAAAGAAATTAGACTTGAAGGACACTGTATGAAAGTCATAATCATAAAGTTTAAGCTTTGCTTGGCTGGAATTTCCCAGGGGCCAGCATATATTTGTGCATTGCCTTGTTCATTGAGCACAACTGCCCTCTCAAAAAGACAAGGCCTTATATCTACCTTCAAGCTCTGCCTTTTTTGTGCCCATCTGATTGAAATCAAGGTCATTTAAATGTGTGAATGTTCATAAGAGTACAACTAAATTTGCATGCATTGTATGTGGCATTCCATGAAGAAATGTAGGTATGTATTGTACGTCACTTGATGCCAATTTCATGCTAACAAGTCATTTTCATGATTGTCTGCAGAATCAAAGAACTACTGGACTTGGAACAATAAATGCGAGACACCAATTTAGAATTTACAGTGTAAACTTACCAGGTAGTCGGACTGTAGGTTCAGTAGGTAACGTCTCTTCCCCACAACCTTGACTCTTCTTCTTCTTCTTGCCATCACTTGGCACATGCTGCTGCTGCTGCTGCTGTTGGAGATGGTGCACATCAGCCACATGAATGCCTGCATTCTGCAGCTGCAGCCCTGCCCCTTGAGCAGCCAGCATGCCCTGGGTCATAAGAGCCTGCTGGGTTAGAACCCCGGAGCTGAACTGCGCCAGACTCTCCTGGGTCACCGCTCCGCTCGTTGCATCGGTACCCTGGAGAAGGGCTGGGGAGATGAACATATTGTTGTTGGGAAGCTTCGGTACTGTCGGGAAATTGTGCTTGGCACACAGCTCCTGGGCGACTAGACTAGAGTTCTTGCCCTTGTCATTGTGGAGGTGTTGCCCTAGTCTCTGTTGCTTGGTCCATTCGCTGATGCCATTGCTGATTGACCCAGAGCCGTCATGGCTATGCTTCTTCCCTTTCTCTTCCTTGGTCGTCTTCCCTTCAGAGTTGTGATGCCCCTGGTGTACTGGTACTATCTTAGCTGAACGGTTCTCGCTCTTTTCCGCGCGGCAGTTGGACTGGATCGCCGCTTTGGCGCTCTGGATGAGGTCTGGCGCCTCGTCGTGCCCGTAGTGAGAGTGAGAGTGAGAATGCGTGTGAAGTACCATCTTGGCGCTCTCGTAGGCACTGTTCCAGTCGCCGTAGTTCTGAAGCCCGTCGGATGCGTCGAGGTTGAGCTGGAATGCTTGTTGGGAGTGGTTGGGGATCTTGTTGGGTTTCTGAGAGGTCAGGTTGTAGAGATGGGGGTGGATGAGAGGGTGTTTGGCCGAGATGCCTGGGTGGCTGAGGTCTAGTGGTTGGTGGGTCTGGAGGTTGGGGTAGAAGAGGTACGAGGGTTTGGTGTCCCCGACATTGCCCGCCATCATGGCAGCAGCAGGAAGGTGTGGACTGTTGGCAGCACATACATGACACTCGCATGGCTGACTACTGGAAATATTGGAATCCTAGCAAAAAAAAGATGGAAAAAATATTGGATTTGACACAAACGCCAACAATAGTGACTCATATTATCTCAACTTGAATGACTGCTAATGTATCTGATCAATTAAAGAATATGAAACAATTCGCAAAGACTGTATCAATGGACTACAAAAACAATAGACATTTTTAGAAAAAATTAGTGTTCGTCCAAAGTTAGAATGCTTGCGTCATCTCTACATCATCGAATGTGGGCAAACGTTTCTCAAAGTACACTCTTCTCTTATTCAACCTATACCCCCAAAAAAGCATTTTTAGGTACTTGTTTTGAGCTCTATTACATGAGACTGCATGCTTCATAGTCTTTGTTTCCAACTTGCTTTCATTCTTCTGAAACACTTCAACTGCTGAGAGCTACATGAGCATTAACTGATATCATTTTACAGAGAATCAACTCTTTTACCTCTCGGCAGTTGACCTTGAAGAATGCATTTTACAACAAAATATGAGAGCTTCCTTGACTAAGAAGGATATGAAACTCAAACGCACCTTTTTGACATCACCACCACCATTGCTCTGTCTGTCCCCACCACCAGAGTAAGATGCTCTACACCTCGCCCTGCCCCTCCTTGAAGAGTTCTCATTCGGTCTAGCTTCTCCGTCGTCATCTTCATCTTCAAAGGCATTCTCATGGGACGGTGAAGGCGACGACTCAGAGTCTAGGTCGTCCGAGTCGTCAGAGTCATCGCTTCTTGGAGAACAGAAGCTGTAAATCAGGATAGTGAGATGATATGATTAGAATGTTTGAGATGTAATCTTACTGACTTCACAAAGGTATTAATACTAATGAGGCTATTCTGAGTAAATAAAACCGTATTAATGTTATCATTATTATTATTATAATTATTATGATTTCTGCATTGTGGATTAGAAGATGAAGTGACCTACCCGGAGTGAATGAGATCACTACGAGAGAAGATAGGGATGACGTCTTCACTGTCGCCTTGGGAAGAGCAATCCGATGAGGAGGTGGTGGAAGACAGGTCAGGCGGATTGATGGACTGAAGGTAGGTATCCAGGGCTGACAGCTGACCCCCGGGCGCTGCCTCGTTCAGCTTTAGACCAATCTCTTCGTAGAGGTCAGGGGTCAAGAGGCTGGAGGTCAGTCTGTTTAGACTGCAGTCATCACACAGGCACCTGAAGACAAAAAACGATAGTTATAGCTCTATGTCTTGGACTAAGGGGGATAATTACCTAGCATTTGTTCTCACATTTTATTGTAATATTTAGGAGGCTCAACATCCACACACAAAAATTCTTCAAATCTTTTGTTTGCCCCTTAAAACTATTTGTACCATTCTATTGTTGTTTTCTCAATTATAGTTGTATAATAACTTTTAACCTTTTTTCTCTAAGAGTGGTTCAAGGGTGAATTTAAATGTATCATGACCAAAAAGCAGCCACATCAAAGTCATTTACGACAAAACATTACAAATAGGTCCAGTCTCATCTATGGTATTCCAATTCTACAACCTGATCATTTCAACTTTGTCAAAACTAGAAATCCCCAGGGCAACGTCTCAAGAAACCCTCAGAAGTACAAGTTCACCGACATCCCATTAAAATGTGTGTTAAACTTAATACATGCATTTCAATGGGATATTGCCGGACTTGTACTTACGACGGTTTCGTAAGACGCTGCCCTGGATGAGGTTTTAAAATGTCATCACTTACTTTTTCTTAGTGGAGCCTCTGTGGTTGGTATTATTCTCCTGATTCCCTCCTCCATTCGCCATGTGATTTATCAATGCTGAGTGGCACTGGAACAGATTCCTGTTATTGGTCGATTTGGTGGCCTCGCAGGATAGTGGGCGTGGCCTCGTCGTCGTGACACCCGTATCCCATGAGCGGTTGAGGGCTTCCTTCCCTTTGTACAACTCCTGAGGGATAATGGGAAAAGGATAGGTGATAATAAGTCTCTGCTTAAAAAAAATGTGCATACTGAATAAAATTGTACAACCAATGTGGTAAATTTTCTTGTCACTTCATACCTTCACATATGGACCTTCATCAATAAGCTTAAATACAAAAGAAAAAGCAGCCATGATTTGCCTAGCCTTTACATTCTCTTTTTTTAGAACACATGCATAAAGTAAAATTCAAATCTAGTCAACTTGAGTGAAAATAATAATAATAAATAATAATAATTACAGTGCTTATATAGCGCCTAACACTTACTTTGTCAGAAGTCTCTAAGCGCTCTACAATAATGCAGCAGAAAAGAGAAATATAGTCTGCAAAGAGATGCTTACAAAGCCTAAAATCTTGTGTGAGCTCATTATTTATTTTTCCTATTCAAAGATTTATGATTACACAAGGTTTCAAAGGGTAAATGTGTCTACCTAGCAAGATTCACATGAGTATTATTCATTATGTAAGTTCGGACAAACTCGATGTCTTGAGAGACACAAGAAAGACCATCCACTGAAGTACTCAGCATATCAGACACTACCAAACGTGATGAGGAGCAAATAAACCAAAGCTTTACATCTCTACACCCAATTTCACTTATTAAAGTGACGATTTGTATATATTTCAGTGATGTAAAAGAGAGAGAGTCTTGTATTACCTGTTCATCTGTATAGTCTTCTATAAGCTGCAGGCAATCTCTCCATACCACTGCTACCACTGACATGTCATTGTCAAACTGTAGATATCTGGAAAAATGAAGAAAAAGAATTTAAAGAAAAAAATGAAATGTAATCCTTATTCGTTTAACTATTCATCCATACATTGGTTATATAATTGCTGATTTCAGAATGTTCAGACAGTATAAAAATAACAGTAAAAATATGAGAGATGCTAGAACTGAAACAAAAGCCTTGTACACCACCAATTGAAATGTGCAAACATTATGAAGACATGCTTTAGTGACCACCTGTCTACAACAACCACCTGTCCACAAAGGCCACATTTGTTGTTTCCCTTGAAAATGGTTTCTCATGTACTAAAGGAACCTGTCTACAAAGGCCACTTTTTGTGTTTCCCTTGGGTGGTTGATATAGACAGGTTTGACTGTACCTGAATATGATATTCAATAAGCAATAAAAAGAGGATATTGAAATTGCTGTTGAGTTGAATTTTTAAAAAGTCTTTTCAACCATGTTGTTGAGTTGAGTTGAGGTTTTATTATCCAAACATTCAAATACATTAATATAACAATGATAACAATAATAAATATATGAATGTTGTGGATTTATTCTAATTTTGAAGAATTCTTCATAAGACAGCCTAGGTATTTTTGTACTGGTACTAACCTCTGCAGTAGATTAGAGTAGCTCTCTTCGTGGTAAGGTTCCTTCTGACTTGCGACGGCCCTAAGCTGCTTGATGAGTGTGCCCAGATTATCATGAAGACCCGGCTCCATGTAGATCAGGGAGTGAAACAGGTGTTTGTTGTGCAGCGGCCACGTTAGGTTGAACTTGTGCAGGTGCTCCTTCTCCTGAAAGACCAAGAAATATTTAAAAGATTAGACTCTGCAAACCCACAGATTTGTATTCCTAGACAACTATATGGGTGATCTGGTTGAATTGACCGACTGATTCTTTTGCAGTCTTCACAGGAAGCTTTGGAATACAGGTACATTGGGAGCTACCGGTATACAAAATTCTTTCTTAAGTCAATTCAACCGCTTCAGATATTACAGATGTACCTGTACATAGTGGTTCAGCAGACAGAGCAAAGGTCTTCCAAGACCAGGTTAATGCACTGTTGCAAACAACAATCTCCACTTGCCTATGGTTGAAACTTAAGATAACTTTTAAGCTTTCAGGTAAAAGCAAATATCAAACAAGCAAACCAATCACAATTGACCAAGTTCATGATTTCAATTTCTCTCTCTAAGTGTCATATGATATCGATTGACTTGGGCCATCATGCTGTTCTACAACCCTCAGCTTCTATCCTTCCCTATTAGTACCACTCCCAGTTCTTTCACTCCTCTCTCTTCCAACGATTTCTGCAGACTGTCCATCCAAATATCCTCCTTCTTTCCCTACTCCTCCTTCCCACAATTTTCCCTGTCAAAGCAAGATTCTCTAGTCCTTCTTCACATGTAATGTGATCCATGAACTTCAACTGCCTAATCAACATCTCACATATCATTTACCTTTGCACTCCAGCTCTTCTAAGAACTTCCTCATTACTAACTTTGTCAAAAAAACTCACCAACTCTTCTAAGATAGCGAGGAGCGTCTGAGCTGCCGAACATAGCGCCGCGTACTCCTCCAGGAGCATGGTGATGAACTGCTTGGCAAGGGGTGGGGTCCTAAAGCCCCCGTCTAGCTGCTTGAGTAGCCTCTCCCTCATCTCCTTGATGAAGTCCTCCACCTCCGCCTCCAGCCTCGTGTAGAGTAGATGGGGGTCGTGGGCGCAGAGACGATGGACGAGTTCCTTCATGCGCGGCAGACTCAGCTTGGTTGTGCTCTCCTCACCTATGAGAAATGATAACAGAAGAAATGGCTTTTGAAATGGAGGTGACGAGGTATAGTGGTTCGTTCACTTGACTCTAAATCAAAGCATTGAGGGTTCAAATCCTAGCCTGGCACTAATGTCCTTTTCTTTCACCAACATCCTCTGACAAGGCAGTGATATATGTTTGCTATTCTCTATTACATTGTAAATGATACCCCATATACTGGAGCACAACATACCTGTTGCTCCGCTATGACTGAGATAATAATGTGGGAGCACCAGGAGCATGATGGAAATGCACCAAATAGGAAGCCACCACCATTTAAAGAGAAGATGAAGTTGTGGTAGAGGTGAAATAACATTTGTAAACAATCTCATTCTTTCTATTTCTGTTTAGAAGTTATCATAGAAGCAATGTCACATCAAAAGGCTGGCTCTTGAAATGCCCCATATTTTAAAACTTTGGACCAAATTTGATTCCACATTAGTGTAATCCTACTATACATGGAAATGTGTTGTTTTTTTTTCTTTTTTTTCCACTCTGATTTTCAGCTCGATGTAGTAAATTTGCAATGTAATACGCATACATATCAACCTTTCCTATGATGTAATAACTTCTTGACAGATTCTTTGAATATGCAATTGCATGAACTGTACTCCACTTTATCTTTAGGGCGTGTCAGAGGAGGGGCAAGGCCTTTCTTCAAGCTCCTTTTTAATTGATAATGCGATCAGCGTGGTTTACAAGTTTTGGCTGGAAAAATCTCATGAGCTGTCTCAAGAATATGAAACAGACAGCTGGCATACTTTAGGGCAACCCTCACATATTATAACATCTGGAAAAACTGTCTGGTTATAGGATACCAGCATATTCATGTAATACAGATACATGTGTTGATAGCAAGAGTAAGGATAATTCCTGTAACAAACCTGTACTTAAGCTACATTGACTCTAGTGAGATAAACTCCTGTGTTTAATTTTGTGAAATATATCAATTTAGGTATGATACCATCAGGTATAGATAAAACAACATACAGTAAAAAAAAATGATAAAAATTGTAACGCTTAGTTATATCAAGTATGAAAAAATTCAAGGTTGTTCAGCCAGCCTACCTGTTAGGGAGGTCCCCGCCTCCCAGTAGACACAGCGTACCAGGTGACTGAGCTCCGTCCAGCACTCCCCCAGCTGCTGTCGAGAATGCTCCTGCTCAGCTGCTATCTCCCTCCTCTCCCTACACGGCTCGCACTGGCACGGCCCGTCTCCGCTCCCTCCTCCAACCCCTCCTCCTCCCTTGCCTCCACTGGTACTGGTTACCACGGATGAGGAGTCTCCTCCCATCCCCCCAGGGGACGAGCTGAATGCTCCGTCCAGGTTCTGGAGACCGGTGATGAGGGCTGGCGCTGAAGGTAGAAACAACTCCTGAGAACATAAAATATTATGAATAATACAATTGGGACTATTAATAAGCCAATTCATACATGTAGTTGCAGTCTGAGCATGAGCAGATAAAGTTCATTGCGAACCAAGTTGTGAAATACACGGAGACAAAATACTGGATACGTGCTCATGAAAGTTATGTAATCAATATTCATTTATGCACAAGCAGTGCACTCCATGATACACAGGTGGAAGTATTCTTTGAAAAGGGGAAACAAAGGCTAATTATGTAGCACCTCCATCACTGTAAGAGTGATCATTTCAAAATGTACAAAGTGGGACCTCTTCATGTTTTGAAGATATGTAGATATTCAGGGTCATTTGGGACATGTGCTAACCATGAACTGGTCTATTAAAACAGAGACCATTGTGCTGAAAGAATATAAAATAACTAAGATCACAAAGTCCAAAACACATCATAAAGACTAAAGAATATGAGATTGTTGTAATTAAGAAGTACCATTCAGATGAATAACATGAAAGTATACAAGACCATTTTAATCAGAAAGTAAAACCTAGTTCCATTTCTGAACATGTATGTTCTCCACACTTGACTCAAGTACATTGAAAACAGACAGTTTTTATCAAACACATTTTTTCCACATTGAGCCCAACAAGCAATAGGATAGAAACTGAATAAGAAAAATGCTAATGTACAGCAGCCTCCTTTTTTTTTAATTCAACTTCCTTTATACTCCACAGGAAATATATCTGGCACAAATTTCCAGAATGTAGGTTTTTGCATTTTTTCTATAATGGACTAGCCTTTGCCAAGCTCTCAGGTCATAAACACTAATTTTTAAAAATTGTGTAGAAGATGTGATCAAATAATTTACACACTTCATGTACAAGCATTCCCTTGTTCTACAGTACATGTGACATATAATACATATTCATAGGCTAATGTCACTGCCATTTTTTGCCTCTGAAGGTTGTTACATTTAAGAAAATACCACAAGATATTGGTTATACTGGCACTTCCAATTATCAACCACTGTCAATTACAAATTCATTTCCCTCACCTGACAAATGTCACAATACATGGAGCATGGAGATAGTTCCTTGAAAAGTACTCAATTTTGGGCAAGATACATGTACATGTACATGTACATCGAGTTTGCTGTCTACTATTCTGAATTCATGTTGATAAACACAGGAGGTGGTGCCAACATAAATCTAGAGCTGTTAAAGGTACTATGTCCCTTTTGCAGCCAACCTCAAATTCTGTAGAACTTTGCAGGAACTATGAATATGTCATGTATGTCCTATCTGTGAAATTTAAACGTTAGCAGTGTCCTCATATTCAAATTATGCAAGGAAACCCGATTACTTGCTAGACTTCACTGTCAGACACTATTGAGTGACTGACTGGCTTTTTTTCTTCTTTGGTAGTAACGTACATGAAAAGAGTTGTAAAGGGTACATGAGCATTTGTCTACATCAATAACCCACTTCTTGTGATGGCCAAAATTAAACTGATAGAATCTTTGTGCAGCATAAAACGTATGACCATTCGGTACAATTATCTGAAAATCAAGACTATTACTTTTGGGCTCTATAGCCCTAAAGTCGATTTGACAACTAATAGTCGTTATTTTCCCACTTGAAGAAATTTTCAAGCCCCACCCTTTTGGGGGAAGTTCTAAATTAGTATTATCTTTCAAATGCAGTTGGAATTTAACTTTTTCTTTTGTTTGGCCTGCAAATGGGACATAGTACCTTTAAAGCACTCTTGCAAACATTCACACTAGTGTAAAAAATGATTTTCTGTCCACAGATGCTACTTTTGGATTCGGGGTGATAAAAAGGTTTTTTCTCAGAGTGATATTTATGTGGGTTTTTTTAATTACCAGGGCTCTTTTTTCAGTTTATAAGAGCTATTTGGGGGCTTTCCAGAGCTAATTCGCTCACTGCTCTTTTTTTCACTGGATCGCACAGACCCATGACTTCTAAAGATCTAATCCTGGGTTTTCTTTCTCTTTAATAAGACAGCAAGTATATACCGCACATGATATTGTGCAGAGAATTTTAATACAGCAAGTACAAATCTTCTTGCTTTACCTGAAATGCGTATTGCATTGGTACAATCAATGTTGCAAACATTTGGTGAAAAGACTCACAGTACCAAACAGCAAGATTACTGTGTGCTTATAATGCTAGATATTTAGGTCTTCTTTAAAAGAGTATTTATGAGTGGGAATCGGCCTCCTGTGGGCACTTGAGTTGACTCATCAACAAGAACGTTAAAGCTTTAACCCTCCCAATCAGAGAGAAAGAAGAAAAAAGAAAAAGGAAACCTGACGCTGTGACTCCCTGATTACTAACTATAAATAGTGTCAAAGTAACTTCCTGAATGTCAATGAAATGAGAACACAAAAGCCGAGACAATTCTTTCAGGTTCAGGAGGGTTTCTCTACAAATGCTTCATCGGTGGGTAGTAATAGAGGATCGCAGTATATGCTTGGGGGAAATGGATGTATTTGTCACACAATATGAGCCATCTCATAACTTCAGGTCAACTTTGAAAAGTAGCTGCATCTAATTAAGTTCAACTACATGAACAAACCAATGACCAGTCAAGCATGTTGTAAATGCCATTACAAAAGAATATGTTTACTATCAAATCAAAGTTTATTTTTACTGGTGGCCTGACCAGTGCAGTTTACTGAGCCCATTTCTTGTAATGACTCAAAAGGAGTAGTCTTTCTATTCTGGACATATTTCACTATTGAGAGGTATTCTCCAAATTCAATGTCTAATTAAATCAATCTGCTTTACGTCACGACCAAATTGTTTGAATTTAGATGTACGTTTAAAGGTAAAGACCAGTATTGGAAACGCCCCAATTTCAAAAAATGAAATGGAAGCTCTCATTACCAATCATGTGAAAGGATATGTTTTGACTAATACATGATGATAAAAAATTTGCCGGGAAACCGCCTACTAATTCATATATTTGGTAAATGTGTTTCTCTCATGGTCTGCGAGAGATATAGGGTAGTCCCATATACATCTTTCTGTGTATAGTGCTTGTAACTTTACGAAGAATGGGCCAAATTTCTTATCATTTTAATGATTCCAGAACCTTGCAGATGCTAGATGCTAGATGATCAACCTTTTCTGATCGATTCCACAACGTTTCTTTCACAATGCAGTCGCATGACCATAACTGGTCTTTACCTTTAACATACGGCAGTCATTTAAAAATGCATATTGGTCTAGCAAGAAAAATATCTAAATAGATCACAATAACAAAAGAGCATTTTAATAATGGTTGTAAAGAAACATACATGTAGGCCTACCTCCTATTTCAAGATTTTACCTGCACTCTTGTTCTAAGATTTATACTAAATCTAGACCAATACCTCCCTCTACGGGCAGCTAGAAAGATTTACTCTTCAGATTAACTCCTGTAGTGCAATGTTTTCTCTCTTCAAAATCAAATTGGCCCAAATCCTACTAAAATGTAAAACCCAGCCCCAAAGCTCTTTCTTATCAAAAGTCAAAACTTTAAAAAGTAACTGAAACCAACTTGCCCATAACAGGGTATTTTAACAAGATTATGTTGCTCTTAGTAAGACGGCAAGTACAATCTTGGTGAGGGTGGAGCCCTCCTCTGACTTACCCCAATGGCTGATGGACCAAAGTTTTTGGTGGAATGAGCCTCTTCCTCCTCTACAGTACGACGGCAGTCGGGACACAACCAAAGGGGCATCTTTACATGAAGACAAATAAGAAGATAAAAAAGGCATAAAATTGCAAGTAATCGTTATGGCAGAGCTTGACACTATAAACAGGCACCCCAGGACACATGTGCGCCCCAAATCAAAGTCCAGGCCCCCAAATTTCTTAATTTCTACAAAGGGCCCACTACATACAGGCCAAACAAATTTAAGTCCAGACCCTAAACAAAAATGTTATTGTGGAGCCCTGATTATGGGGACGAGTTTATTGGGGAAGGGGCATGTTCTGAGGAAATGGGGAGGGGGAACTGTACAATCCTTTTAATTTATGCAAATTCTATCTCATTCAGGCTGAACATTCTAAAGATATGTTGCATCAATTTGATTGTTTGTCACATTATCACAATGTTCTGTTTACCTCTCTGCATCAAGTAGTAAAAAATGTACATGTACACACTCCTTATCTCTCACAGAGTACACTACCTCCTCTATACATATTCATGCCAATTATTAAATTGAATGCACAACAGGCAAGCTCTAGCCAACTCACAAGGAGAGTTCACACATAAGTCATGGGAAAATTAATGTACACTGCCAAAATGATGAAGATGTACTTTGCATGGCAAATGCAATATGACTCACAATATGCATGCATATTGCATAATCAAGGTTCTACAGGTACCATGCTTTTTCCTGGTTTTGTATGTATTCATGAGATATCCTCCCCTTTTCTCTTATTTTTGTAGGGAGGGGCAGCTTCAATTTCACTGCAATCTCATTCTCACACATTCTCTTGTCACAACTGATATGTAATGCTAACCCAAATATTTATTTTTCTCAATGTCTTACCATACCATTTTATACATGTGTATAATAGTCAACAACTAAATTATTCATACTCTTACTAAGTTTTGTAATTTTCCAAGTATGTGAAAAAATAAATATTCCTGATTTATGTTTCTTGAGAATGTGACATTTTAAAGCTTACATGTAGCAGTATTCAACAACAGCCCTAATTCAACAAGTCCACTTGTCATTCTTGAGTTACGGGAGGGGGGGGGGGAATCAAAATTACAAGGGTATGAATAATTTGGTTAAATGTACATATGTGAGCTGTTCCACTTTTTACCTCCCCCCTCCCTCCCTCCATCTTCTTGGTAAACAAATACAAGGAAATGTACAGAAACTGAAGGATCACACCTTCCTAAATGACATTTCCTTGATTGTGTGTTATTACCTTGAACATTTTCATGGATGTACAAACAAACTGGGTATGACTTCCTCAAAACCAAATTACAAGAAAATTATGGTACCTTTCATATTTTCAGAGTGCATCATGAATGCACTTTGCTAAATATTTTTAGCAGATAGTTAACATATTAAAATCAGCAAAATCTTTAATATGCATGAATGCTACCAAACGGTTCAAATGCGTCCCAAAAGGCATCTGGTCAAAACTTGTCAGTAAGTTTGAAATTTCCCCGACCATTCCACTCTCCATCCCTCACAGCTTCCTACCTGTGTAATGGGTAACTGCCTGTTGTTTTCCTTCTCACTTCCTCCGACCCCAGGGGGGATGCGATTAGCTGGAGGGTCTGGCCTCTCACGGCGACATAGCAGGCAATGCTCTCTGTCCAGGTAGGGGTTGTGACTGCGAGGCATCTGGCTCATCGGCTGCAAGACAAAAGTGAAAAGAAATTTTTATTGTAATGATAATTGTTTTAACATCAGACAAAGTTGTTTTTTTAAAATCATAAATCAAGCAATCAGCACCCGCTATCAATCATGGTAGTGCTGCATGAAATGTAGAAAATAAAAAATAACTTTGGAAAAAAACATTGCTCATCAATCATACATGTAATAGTTTATTCCTTCCTTGCCTAGATGCTACAACTTGTAAAGTCATGCAAAGCTGTTTACAATGTGAATTGTTTACAACACAAAGAAAATAGTCTCTCTGAATTGATCTACAAATGTACTACATGTATGTAGCCTTATTAAATGCTGCTCACATTTAACAAAATTAACCATCATGAATGTTGGTGTCAATTTCACAGCCCTCCTCCAAATCTCCAATCCATATTAATGCCCAATATTAGCCATGCATAAACACTAATGACGAAGTTAGTGCACAATTTCTTCCCCTTGTAAACAATGATTGTATTATTTACACACATGAATTTCATGATGCACCTTGATTCCCCCCCCCCCCCCCCCCCCCAAAAAAAAAAAAAAAAAAAACATCTGGCAGTTGAAAGTAGACTACGGTTCATTTAATAAGATGAAAACATTGGCACTTGGCGTAATGTTTGATTCATCCTCTCTCCTTCATTGGCAAAATTCCTGCCAAACAGGAAGCCGTCTGGGACAACAAATTAAAGGGATACCAGCAAGGCCAATCTCTCTTTCTGTCTGTCCTCTTTTTGTTTTCTCCTGCAAATTGGCAAGTTTTTTTCCAAGATTTCTTGAAATTTAAAACAAATATCAGCTACAATTGTTTTCACATTTCCTACATGTAAAGCACTGTTTCTAGAACTTTTGAGTTTCCTACAATTCTTAAATTTGACAATGTACTGTACACATACTGCTTTATTGCATGGCTGCTACCATTTCAAAACTGCTTACAAGTAATTCTTTCTATGAAAATTTTCATTACAGGCTTATGCATATAATGGAAAGTAAAAGATGGGCATTCCTGAATACAAACTCATTTTACTGAGGACAAATTAAATTCAACTCGTTCATGTACATAGTTTTAAAAAATGCTCAAAAATGTTTTTAACAAATATATTTACATGTCAAATCTGTGGTCAAGACTGCAAAGTTGTGGATTAATGTTGCCCCTCATCGCCCCAATCCTAACCTACAAACATGTATACGTTCATGTACTGTATACGTAATCTCATCCGTAAGCAAATAATGTCAGCCTCCTATACTTTGTATCCTTAGTTTCCCTGTACCCTTTTCCTATACCCTTCTTCTGCCCCCAACCTCAACTATGACTGACAGCTCTTTTTTCCCCATGTTGCATTTCTAAAATTCCTTAGGAGAAACGTACAGGAATGAGTAAATCTCCATGTGCTGTGGTGGTTCAGTGTACTTGTTCACACCATATTGCACCTGGGCCATGTTTCATAAAACTTGTTATCAATGACAAGTTACAATGACAGTTTACTGAAATGGTGGCATTTGATTGGCTGAGAGCAAAGATGTTACAGAAATTTAGCATTTGTTATTGATTCAACAAGTTTTATGAAACAGGGCCTGCGTTTCTATAGGTGTAAATATAAGTTATCAGTTTGTGTTTTGTTTTGTTTTTATCTTTTCCCTTCCTCTAAGTCTAATAGAATATTGAACAATGAAATGTAACACATACATGTAATTCATGTCCCAGGCCCAGGATGTAAACCCCAGCATGCATCAGACAAGCAAAAAACCCACGGGCCTATGCCTGAGCCACCATGTGCCTGTACAGTTTTTACATGTACATGTACATTATGCTACGGTCACAAAGGTTTGTACGAACGATAATTTCGTGCAAATCTCCGTTTTACCATTGTCTTCCCGAACTTCCATTGTCTGAAAATCATTTGTAAGGCGTTCGTAGCAGTTCGTAATGGCATTTGTGACCGAGGCTTAACATAGACACCTGTCTGTCCGTGATCTGCACAAACCTTTGAGGGTGGCTGTGCAGGGAGCAATCAGCAAATTGATTGGGGGGGGGGGGCACGAGAATATCTACATCTACAGTACATATAGGTCAGAATAATTCATGAGAATCCTTAAACTTAACGTGGGGCCATACTAATGAGGAATAATGCAATTCCTTCCATGTACACCTGTACATGTACTCTTAAAGATATTTTCCCCTTTGCGTTGGTAATAATGCAATCTTTTGCATTTGGGGAAATCCCAGTTTAAACAAATGATACAATGGTGATGTCATGAATTCAGAGCTACGACACAATGGGGGTACATACATGTACATGTACACTGTCACTTTGTATGTACTGTACATAAATATGAATGTTTATTGCCTACATAAGCAAATACACATGTACACTGCAATATGTGAATCTGATTTTATTTCTTATTAAAACAAAAATTATCTAGCATCGCTTTTCTAAAAAATGTAGTAAAATATACGATCAGTATAGAGGGGTAGACAGATATAAAGCAAAATGGGAGGGGCTACAGGAAGATATATGGCAGTGCTACCCTCAAGATGACGAGATGGAGCTGTATAAACTGATGCCGTCCAGCTCAGAATTGCGTCTTATTTCTACAGTCAACTGACCTTAGCCTTCTGCAACAAATTATACTTCACTTTTACCCTTCATTTCAAAGGTCGGTCTCCAATCAATATTTCATCATCCATCTCCGTGTCGATGGAACTACAGTACAGAGTACATGTAGGAACAGGAGGATGGTAATAATATACATGTAGTAAGGAAACAGTATAACCATGTGTAGGTCTAACTGATTCAAACCTGTGTAGATTGAATACATACAATGTAATATCCATGAACTTGCTAACTTCCATTTATCATCAATTGCAAAAAAAGTAAATCGCTTTGAAATACTAATACAGTACAGCCATTTCTCTTTTTCTTCCTCTTCTCTTTCTTAAGCACTTTGTATGGAGAAGAGGCTCTACAGAATTATGCATTTTCATATTCGTTTGGAATTCTGATATCTTATACAATATCCATTGAAATCACATATGAAAAGGGCCGTGTCACATAAAGCAAAAGATGTATCTAAAGACAGAAAGAGACAGAAAGAGAGAGAGGGTGAGGGAGGGAGGGAGGGAGGGAGGGAGATCCAAAGAAAACAAAAATGGAAAATTGTAGTGGCAGGCAACAAGGTACCTCTGACATTTGCACAATACAGCACACGCTTTAATCAGGCATTTACCTGTAATATTACGATGACATTCCATCTGGAACTCAGAAGCCTAATTCAAAATACAGATCTTCAAATGTATTCGAAGGCATATTATTTTGTGTAATCTTTTTTTATCTTGTTTTATTGGTCAGAAAACACAATGATTTACAAAATATGCGTTACATTGTTTTGCAGAAAAATAATGAATAATCATTCGAAGGCATTATAGTTCAAGGAGCATACATCACTAACGCAAAGTAGACGTAGTGCATGTAATGTAAGTGACCTTGAAAAATGCACTTTTAGTATTGCTCTTCCAATGACTATAACAAAGGCCTAAGAATAGATTAGTGCTGTAAGTCCGACGCTATGTTCGTGTTCGGTTCGGTTCGGCAGAGTTCGGTAATATAATAGCAAGCAGCATTATAGCCACTGCTTTAAACGTAATTATTTGTGAAGAAAAATACTACTTACATTCGTATTTCCGTCTTGAATCGTGTTTTATTTTCAATTTCAAATGAATCATGTTTTCAATTTGTCAATAAATGATATTTTTTAAAGATTTTCCAAGACAGTTGTTGTCTAATGTTAGAGTCATGAAAGCTGCCATCTTGAATAAAAATTCAGGCTCGTCAATAACTGTTTTGTATAAGTTTTGATTTTTAATAGGAAAAATATAAAATCCCTATTTTTCCTGAATAAATAAATAAATACCATACTATAATATATATATATTTCATTATTTATATTGTAAAATTTGTCCGATATTGTTACAATTAAAATATTAATTTTTTGTTGAAGGGGTTTGAGCTGAACATATTTTGATCACGCACATGTATTCTTGTTAAATGGCTTACGATCGCGACGTAGCATGGTCAGGATTTGGGATTTAAATGGCGCCAGTGAAGTCGCGCCCACCCCTGGATAGGCATAAATCACAAAGGCGGAAAATGGGAAAAAAGTAAATATAAAATGAGCAATCATGACATGAAAATTAGGTACAAAATGGCAAGTTTATTAGCTTGCAAAAACTTTTATATTTTTCTGCCGAACATCCGAACCAGGCCTTTGCGTTCGGTTTGGTTCGGTTCGGTTCGGAAGTGCCATGTTCGGCGAACTTCCGTTCGGTTCGGCGGTTCGGCTACAGCACTAAAATAGATTCTTCACATCTCAGGAAGACAAAAATAAAGTAGAAAGAAGAAAGAGAGAGAGACAGGGAGACAGAGAAAGGGAAAGGGACAGAGAAAGAGACAGCGACAGACAAACATACATGTACATGTACTTGTAGATGAGCTGAGGGGCAAGGGATAGATGGGCGCTCTACATGTCTACATACACATGCTTAGTTTATTTAATAATTTCATTTGGTGTGGGACTGTGGGTGAGGCATTCTGCATTAGCAACGTTACATGTAGCATTTTTTTTTTTTTAATGTGTCAAGGGGGTGGGTCTCTCGTCCACAGATACAACAAAAAGCAACAAACCTACTCCGGAGTAGTTGGATCATATCAAATCATTGAATTATCAAATTCAAGTCTGCACCATGAGACTACTGTACAACTACAAGGATTGATGGGGTGGGTCTATGACACGTACATGTACAGTACTGTACATGTTATGTTACTCTACTCCGCAATGGAAAAGAAAGTGATTTATTATTTCATACAGGGCAATGGGAAAGGGCTTTAAATGAAATGGAAATGAGAGCTGCATGTACATGTACAAGAACATATACACATAGTTTCAGTTCTCGGTAGTATCCCTGATCCGACTGAAAAGTGAGGTCA